GTCTGGAACACTTAGTGGACCAAAGTACTAGGAAGTCATTTTTCTCCCAACACTGAAAAAAAACAGAGGATAAGTAGACTCTAAATTCTAGGACGGTAGACTCTACTAGAATGTCACTGAACGTGTGGCCTACCCTTCAGAATCACTTGAGATATTCTGAAATCCCTAGGACCTACTTCAAGTCGGAATCTCCATGGGCAAACTAGGTGTGGTGGCACATGCCTGTAATCCCAGCACTCAGGAGGCTGAGGCAAGAGCTTAAGGCCAGCATGAGCTACATAGTGAGTTCAAGGCCAGCCTCAACTACACAGTGAGACCGTTTCAAAAAAAGAAAAAAGAAAGAAAAAGTCTTCATGGGTAGGGCAAGGAAACTGATAGATTTATTTGTGCAATCCTAGGGGTTAAAGCAAGGGTGCTCTGCAGCTGAGTCACATACATCCTCAGTCCTTTTAATTTTGAGACAGGGTCTCACTAAACTGCCCGGGCTAGCCTTGAACTTGCAATCCTCCTGCCTCAGCCTTCAGAGTAGTTGGGATTAAATTTAGGTACGCCTGTTTAATTTTTCTTACACAATTTCTAAAATTTGACTGGGGATAAATGGTGAAGTGTGGAGGTATACAGACACATGGCTTCAGATTTTGAAGTTCTGAAGTGACAAGGACACGGAACTGCTTTCTAAGTGTTTATTGAAACCAAGTTACCAAATCTGCTTGTCGTGCACTACAGGGGCCATGCTGTACTCTCCCTGAACCCGTATCACGTTGGCACCTTAACAACCACTCATCCTGGAGGAGCTGCAAAAACAGAATGTAGCAGGGCTCTGGTTACAAGCTACCTAGGTTTGAATCAGGATCCCATCATTTTCTTTGGCCTCAGACGAGTTATTCATGCCTCATCTTTAGAGCAAGTGAGTTTATCCATGCAAAGCACTTAGGCTAGTGTCTAACTCTGTACCTACAGTTTTCTTGTAGCTGCAGTTCAAATATGGCCTCTCTCAAAGCCTTTTTTCTCGCTTCTCACCACCCTCAGACTCTTCTAACAGTATTTACAGCTCTAGGAACACAATGCTTTTGTATGAGAATCCCCTACCACACTCCTTTCCTTCAGGACGGCGACTGTGGTTTAGTCAAATCCCTTTTGTTACCCGACTGTCCGGTTCAGTGCTGAGTAGGAGTAAGAACCGAGGATCTTGTTAATGAATGACACTTCGGAAGCGACTACGCAGAAAACGAAATATAACCATACAAAAAAGGGAATTGTTTTCAATTGCTCCTATTAGGATCTACGCTGGAAGCTTTGGAATGCTGGGAGCTGAAGGAACCACAGAGATCGATGCCGTCTCGCACCATCAAGGAAACGGAAGCCCAGAGAGGTTGCACCTGCCTAACGTGTCACAGCAGCGCGCTACAGCCGAATCAGAATCAGAATCCGGGGCTGGGGATTTAGCTCAGCGGCAAAAGCGCCTGCCTGACAAGGGCAAGGTTGTGAGTTCGGTTCCCGGTACCGGAGAAAAAAACCAAAAAAAAAAAAAAAAAAATCAGAATTCACTTCTGATTCCTAGACTCAGGCTGTTCGGCGCCCCTACCCTCTATGCCACCGCAGCGTGGGCGCTCAGGACATACACCAGGAACGACGTTAAAGGGCCCGAGCTCCGGCGCAACGCGAGTTCTATTTACAGGCGCCTTTCCTTAGCAGGCCTAGGGAGGAAAGACACTCACGTGTTAACGAGGGGTCGGGGACACTTTCGCGACTGTGCGATTCCCCCTGACCCGCCAGCTCTGCAGCCGGGAGCTAAGGCGCAAGGCAGGCTCCGACTGCGCCTCGGTTGCTGGGAGACAGGCGACCTCTCACCCGGAAGTGAATACGCGAGGGGCCAATCAGAAGGCGCCGGTACTGTGCCACCGCCCCGGGGCCGCCGTGCAGCCGCCGTAGCTGAGGTCTCGGAGGGGATCAGCGCCGGGTCTGGAATCCGGATCCCTGGGCGCCGCCTCCGGACAGCCGCCCCTGGAAGCAGCGTTGTGAGCCAGGTACGGCCTCCCGCTCCCCGGACAAGGGGTGGGTCTCCCTGGTGTGCGCGGCGCCCCGGTGGTCACCGTGTGGGAGTGGCCAGCATCAGACGGACAGCCCGCCGCCTGTGTCCCCGCGTGTCTGCCCCGCGTGAATCTGGACTTAAGAGACTGGGACGGGCCCGGCGGTCTGCAGCTGAGCTTGTCCCCGCTCGGGCTGGAGGCGACGGGACAGCCTCAGGCTCCGCACGGGGTCGGGTGGAGGGGCTCTGGCCCCGTTTTCTGTCCGCACGTCGAACCCAGCGTCTGCGTGGGGAGAGGCGTGGAGACGGTGCGGGTTGCAAGAAAGGTTCCGTGTCGGTGTGTCGGCGTGGAGCCGGGAGGTGGATCGTGATCAGTCGGATCTGCCGCGGGAGGAGAGAGCGGGCTGTGTTGGGAATGCAACGCCCAGGTGGGTGTGCTGTGCTGCCCGACAAACTTGGGTGTGGAACAAAGGATACTCTGAGAGTCACACTTAGGTCTCTGCGTCCCTAGCAAAGAAAGATGGAACCTTTTCCTGGCGAGATGGGATAGAATAGTGCGTTGTGGCCCTGTGAATTACACACCCGAATTTCTAGTCCCTGGAAAATGGGGAGAGTGGTATTGGATGGATACCATTTCAACCTGCAGGTCTGCGTTCAAAACTTTGTGTGCAAGCCTCAAGTTGTAAAGGTAACACTTTTTTTGGTTGATGTGAGACAAGTTGTTCTGCTGTGTACAGAATCTTGTTTTCTTTCTAATACCCATCAGTACACAAGTTTACCCGGGCTGGGTGGAGTTTGAAGTGTGTAGTTCTGAGCTGTTTCTCAATCCTTTCCCCACCCCACCCCCTTTTTTTTTTTCTGATTTTTAGAAACAATCTACAAGTATTACAGAATTTAGTTTGTCCCGTTGTTTTTGATCACTTGTTAAGCTTTTAATTATGCTACCTTTTCTTGTGGAAAAAAATATAGCTGTTTTTACAGAAAGCACTTGTAGCCTGACTTTCTTACGATGTTCTTATTTAGAGTCAGCAGACGTGTAATTGCTGGGTTTTAAAATTTAGATCGGAAGGATGTGTTAGTCATGTTTTTTATTTTCTATAGTATTTATGTTTTGACATCTTGGGGTCCCACCAGGCCTGGGAGAAACTGCCCCTCCTAGGGCTAGCGAATAAACACTTCACCTGTGAGATGCCTTTCATGTGCAAACTCCACAAATCCAGCGTCCCAGTCCATAAGCGCGTCCACCCATTCTTCTTTCACGACCCGAGGTAATTGGGCGTATTCAGAGTGGTATGGCCATAGCTTCTTTCTTTCTTCAGTTCTGGGGATTCAACCCAGGGCCTTCTTCACCCTGGACTAGATCCCCAGCCCTTTTATTTTTTATTTTGAGACGGGATCTTGCTAAATCACGAAGTTGCTAACTCTCCTACAGTATTGCCCTGCCCTAAATCAACTGTAGGCCAGTCCTGTTGCCCCCACATCCTGCTGAAACTTTACCGAGACTAACCAGCTCTAAGCTGTGTGCTCTGCCCTGCCCTACTTTTCCTGCAGAAACCCCAAGACAAGCTGAGCTTGATAAAAGAAAATTCTCAGAGATAAAGGGAGTCAGTTACCAAAAAGACTGTTGTGAAACTTTGACTTAAATCCCATCCAACAAACCTCCAAGACCAGTGTACTCTTACCATGTATAAACTTTCTGGACTATTACCACCCAGCCCAGAAGCAACACTTACTTTATAGGGTCTTCCTATGTATCCCAAAGACCTCCACCACCACCCCCTGTAAATCTTGCTTCTCTTTTCTGCAGCTAGTTTATGTTCAGTGTGAATAAGTTATGCCTTCCTTTCCCAAATTCTGGTTATAAAAAATGCTCTTGTGGTGCACACTTGCAGTCCCAGTAATGTAGGGGAAGTAATATAACTCCCAACCTGCTAGATGTCAGATATGCTGAGTTTGTGCTCCCCAGAATCAAAGAATGAATTCTAAGGAACTACAGAGGTTAAGAGTAGGAAAAATTTATTGAGAGAGAGAAAGAGAGTTCCTGAGACAGGAAGAGACCTGAAAATGAGTTGCCAGTGAACCTACTTTTCAAAGGATGTTTTATAGAGCAGAATCATGTGGTGGGTACAAAATCATGAGGTGGGTACAACATGGGTCAAAACTATGATCAACCAATAAGATTACAAGTACAGCCACTTGGGTAATATTGATCTAGTGGGGAAGCAGGTTGTGTAGCAAGTGTACATGGAAAGAGCAAGGACCTTTTTAGGAAGAGATGAATCAGAGGGTCTTGGTCACCCACCAGAGTGATTGATGGCTAGCAAGACTTTATTGGACCAAATGATACCAATTATAGTATAAGCTTCAATTCATTGCTTATTCCTTGTGGAGGCATGCAGCCCTGGTCTTTCCATCTTTATCTTGAAGCCTGGACTTCAGCAGATCTGCCTCCAGCCAGAGGTGTAATGTGTTCTTATCCTCTGCACTGGCTGCCTTGAGGGCCTAGCCCTCTCTGACTGCCTATAACATTCCTGCCTAACTTAGCTGTCTAAAACAACAGCACTAAGGAGGCTGAGGCAGGAGAACCACTGTGAGTTCGAGGCCAGATTGGGCTACATAGTGAGTTAAAGACCAGCCTGGATTATGTAGAGAGACCCTGTCTAAAAAAGTTTAAAAATTTATAAAAGCTCTTAGCTCTGGTCAGGTGATTGACATTTTTCCAACTGTTGCCTGGTCTTGCTGTTGATGGTTTACAAAGACTTGTCCCAGGATGTGGTCTTTTTTCTGCCTAGTATCTGTAATGACTCAGAAAACCCATTTATTTCAAGAGTCTGAAGAGTTTGGCTGAACAGAGAACTATGCCTAACCCTCACTCCTTTGTGCCACGTGACCAAGTTGTTACTCCTCCCTGTGGACCTGCATGGTGCTGTGTGCCTCTCATTTCTAGGGGATTTGTGAGTCATGTTAAAGTTCTGTTTGTTTCTTTTCTTAGAATTTATTTTGAGACACAGTTGGTGTGCAGTCCAGGCTGGCTTTGAACTCACTGTGTAGCCTAGGCTAACCGTGAAGTTACTGTGATCCTCCAACCTTAGCCTCCCAGGTGCTAGGATTACATTTCTAGCCACCACTCCCAGCTTCCTTTTCCTTTTGATGTCGTTCAGTTCCATGTTGCCACTCAGTCATCTTTATAAATTAACAGCTGGTCACAAATCAACAGGGGGCCATATTTCTTTAAACTTTGAATTGAGATATAAGGTGTAGTATAAGCTAAGGAGAGAATATCGTGGAAAGAATCTCAGCTTTGGAGTTAGGCAGAGTTATTCAAACCCCAGTTTATTTAAACCTTGACCCCAGGCTTTGCCTCTGTAGTTGGTGCTATTAGACAAGTTGCGTAATTTACCTTGCTCTACTTTCCTTCTCTATAAAATAAAGAAAATTGTATTTACCTGACAATGTTTGTGACAGATTTTTAAATTAATCCTTCCTATATTAATCAACTTTCTTGTTGCTGGACACAGTACTCAACACACATAATTTAAAGGAGGAGAGGTATAATTTGGCTCACAGTTTAGAGGGTTTGGTCCATGGCTAGCTGGCTCTAAGGCACAGTCATCATGGAGAAAGGGCATGGTGGAAGAAAACTGCCCATATCATGGCAGCCAGGAAACAGAGAGAACAGGGAGGAGCTAAGGACAAGAATATAAGCTTCCAGATCACACCCCAGTGACCCACTCTTTGGTCAGCCCCTACTTCCTAACAGCACCTTGAGCTACGATTTTTTTCAGGGGATCAATCCACTGATGAGGATAGCATCCCTGTGATCTGATCACCTTCCCAAAGCCTGACCTCTGAACACATGTGACTTTTGGGGAACCTTCTAGATCTAAATAACACTACCTTCCCCTTCGATGCAGATGTATGTCCAGCTACTTTCCACATATCTTCATTTGAGTAACCAGCATCTAAAATGTTAGCATATCTAATGTAGCAACCATTGTTAATTCCTATCATTTTGTTTTGAGGTTATGTATCGTTTTTGTTGTTTTTATGTTGTTTTGATTTTGTCTTCATTGTTGTTAGTTTTTTTAATCTTTAAAATAAAAAATAAAATAAAATGTTAACATATCTAATCTGATTTTTTGACCCTACCTCAAATTTATTCTTCTCCATTACTATTCTGTAAGTACTATACGTGACACCACTGTTTACCCTATTTGCTCGGACCCAAATATCTTGCATTAATTCTTGATTTTTTTTCTTTTGTACCTTTCCCATATTTTATCTGCCTTTAAATTCATTTAGAATCTGTGACAGCTTATCAACTCTGCTGCCGCCACCTGAGTAGGCAAGAGGATTGCCCGCCCCCCCCCCAGGCTTTTACTGGGACCTGTACTGCAGCACTGATCGAAGGAGCATGAGGAACAACTCTCATAGAGAGAAAGAGCAGGCCTCGAATGCATAGTCTACCGTGTCTCTGGACCTATTTGGGGACTTTCTGAGTAGTGGCAGAGGGAGCAGGGTCATCTGAGTTAAGTCTGTGTTTCAAGTCTTCTGCAGCGAAAGCAGATTTCTCCCAGAGCAGTGATGAAGTGTCAAGGACCGCCTCCGCTGTTGTGACAGCTCCTGCATTTCCCTGGAAATGGTGGGGCCGAAGTTAAGATTGCTGAAGCTTTCAGGGATTCTCCAGGAGTGGTAGCTGTGTTGATCATTGACCACTGGGGCTTGGGGATTTATGAGATGATGGCAGCAGCCCCTCCCTACCCAATCTTTGCCCCACAAGGGGTGGTCCTCCCTTGCTCTTCAGAGAGGTGGCAGCAGTGGCCTGG